AACTCTTAGTTCTGACATTTTCTGGCTTCATTCCCTTGGGCCAATTAATCTATGTGGGCCTGAGTGTCTTTACTTGAAAGTGAAATGTTAAGATAGTAATTTCTCAGATTGTTAAGATTAAATGAGTGCATATAGGTTACACTCCTGATGGTGCCTGGCCAGTGGTAATTGTTACTTGGCACTGGGTTTTTAATGATAGGATTCACACCTTATATTTATAAGGTAGGGGATATAGAAACATGAGATATATGGAGAGCAAGGAGTACAGAGAGCAAAGAGGAGGGAGCCAGGCACTCTCCATGCATTTTCTCATTTAGCCCTTAAATCACCATATGAAGTAGGTGATGCAGGTATTTTTATCCCTACTTCATAAAGGAAGTCATTGAGAAAGGTAGTGGTGCTTGCCAAGGTCACATGGCAGATCCAGGATTTGGACCTGGTCTGCTTTACTCAAAGTCAGTTCTCTTTCCTCTTCACCTTCAATGGCCAGTGACAAGTTTCCTTCTAGCACAACATTCTCAGATTCTTTGCCAAAAAATAGCCAATGTATGTCACATTCTGACAGTCCTCTCTCTTAATATTAAGGGAGTCCTGCTTTCTGCTCAGGAATGATGATGAGAGGGATGGTGGTGCTCAGCTTGTCTAATCTTGACTCTTCTAAGGAGATGTTTCGGTGGAATGAGCCTCTTCCTCATGAAAGCTTTCTGATTTCACTTGGGAATGTCAGTAGTGTGACGTGATCTGAGTTACTCCACTTCCCAGGCTGTTTTAGCACCAGCAGCACTTAATAGAGCCCAGTATTTCACACACCAGAAAATACAAAAGTCCCAGGACCATGCCATCACAGGATGAAAGGCCAGGAAGACATATGGGCCAGTCCTGTGCCTGAAGCACCCATGACAGCCCCATCAAGGGATTTTTCTGGTCTCTGCTTGCACATGTCCAGGACTAGGAAGTTCATTCTTCCTTCCAACTCTGGCTAGAAGAGACTTCTAGTAGGTAGAGTTGAGCTCGACCTTGCTGCATTTTGCCAAAGAAGCTTTCAGGCTCAGGACCATGAAGTGATTTGCCTGAGGTCACTTGGAACATCACTGGAAAAACCTGGATCAGAGGCCTGGCACTTGGAAACCTGCTTCTGTCCTTGTCCTCACAGTGGAGTAGAAATAATCCTGAAGAAGGATTTAGACTGGGTTCTCTCCTCAACCTGGCCACTTAAATTAAATGACATTTAATTCAATTTCATAAATATTAGCCAAAGGCCTACTATGTGCCAGGCATTCTGCTTACATGCAGTGAGGTCACAGACAAATCATTTCTCTTCTCTGAACCTCAGTGTCCTCATCTACTTAAAAAAAAAAAAAAAAAGAAAGAAAGGCCCCTGTGTGCTGCTCGTGTAGATTAAATGAGGAAAAAGGAAGCAAAGTGTTTTGTAAACGGTATAGTGGTATGTACATTGAGAGGTTATTGCTAAAGCTGGCTATCCCATCTTTGTGATCCACTCCACCTGGAGCAGACTTCTACCTTAGCATTGCCCACCATTTGGAATTTGTTTACCCACCACACTTCCTGAAGGAGGAATGTACAAGGTTCATCTTTGATTACCAGAGCCCAGCCCTGGGGTGGCATATGGCAGGTGCTAAACAGTGTATATAAATAAATAGAACATGTGATGAAATCTGATTCTGAGGCCCATGGAGATGGGCACTGGAAGACCAGAAGAGGTAGATCTTAGTGAGAGGATGGTGGAGGGTGAGAAGGGTGTCCATTGTGGATGGACAGGGTTTAGGTCACTAGAAAGTAGAGGGTGGGATATTCCAAGCAGTGTGAGTGGCTTGGGCAAAGGTCAGGAGATGAAAATCCATATAGATTATGTAGGGGATCCTGAGGGAGTGGGCAAGTAAGACAGCAATGAAAGATAGTGGAAAATAAGTATAACACTATGCTCCAGGCACTGTTCAAAAAGCTGTAGATGTATTACCTCATCACACCCTGCAACAGCCATACAAGGCGGGTATTATTATCTCCACTTTCAAGACAAGGAAACAGAGAGCTTAAATAACTTGCCCAAGGCACATAACATGAAGTGGCAAACCCAGGATTTGATTCCAGGCAGTATGACTCTAGAATATGTTCTCTTAAAGTAGGTTGAAGCCTGTCTTTAAGGAGCTAGGAACTTTGGACTTTTTCTTGTACTGCAGGAAAACTTTTGAGCAAAACTTTTGAGCAGGAAAGAGTTTGAAAAGACATCATGGCGAGTAAAATGTCTTCACAGGTGGCAGAGGTCCCTCAAACATAATGAGCACTTGAGCACCTTCTGCGTGGTAGGCACTGGTGATACAAAGAGCAAGACAGAGGCCTTGCCCTCGCAAGCACACAGTTCAGTGGGATGCATGGAGGTGGCTGGAGCTGGCTCACTCTGGCTCTCTGGAGCCCATTGTGTGCCTCTCTTCCCAGATGATCAGTGACATCACATTGGTAGCTTGGAATCGACCATGGTGAGGGTATTTATATACCATGGAAATTGGCCAGTGCTACAAATCAGAGCTTTTCCCCCAGAGAGCTCATTGTTAAATATTTACCAGCACCACAGTGCTTATAAACAACTGCATTATGATAAATGAACTCCCCAGGTACAGGGTGGCACAAAGGGGGTGGAGACTAACTCTTCTTGGCGAGCTAAGGAGGCAAGGCTCATGCAGTGTTGAAGGATGAGCCGTTGTTTGCTATGAAGACAAAGTAGGAAAGGGCAGCTCACCAGAGGTGTGGAATGGGATGGCATATTATGTAGTTCCATGAAAAGAAACTAGGGACGTGAAGGAGCTTGGTACCCTATGAGGTGCCAAATAAAAGGGTGTTTATTTAGCAAATCCAATATTGGATTTATAAAGTGAACTCATTGGAGTTGGGGAGGAAGTCCCCATGTCATAACACATTAAACTTTGTCTTTAGCAGGAAGGATCCTTTAAGGATTTCAAATGTGACTCAGCTAGGCCTTTACCCAACACTTCAGTAAAAGGGAACCTAGGTTTTGGGGAGAGACCTGGCATAAGAATAGGTTAGAACACTCTAGGGCTGCCAGCTAAGTGGGAAATGTTGACAAAGGCTTTGCAATGCCCTGTATTTTGAGGTAGGAGGGCCAGGGAAGTTGGTAGGAACTAGGACCAGGAGACAGGGCAGTAAGGGTCAGGTGCACCTGGCTAGGCATTAATTTCCTGCCCAGAAGTCAGAGCCAGACAGTAGCACTTCAGAACTTGTTTTGTTGTCCTTTGTGTCTAGTGAGGGGTCCCAGGTGCTGTGGGTTGCTAGGCTATCCTCTGGCTTCCATAGACCAACTTTTCTCCTCAGGGCCTCCTTCGTCCTTGTGCCCTAGACTGGGGTGAACATGTCACCAGACTGTCTCCACAGCTCTGCTTGGTGCCACACTGTCCTGAAGGTTCTGAAGGAGACTGAGGTCACTGGACCATCTGGGCAGACAGAGCTGCCAGAGCTAGGACCCATGTCCAGGAGGGGACTGGAAATAAGCCTTGGCCCCTCCCGTGGGTGGGCCTGTTATCAAGGTTGTTTTCCGCTGCAGACAGTCACAGGGCTTCATTTCCCTGCCAGCTGCCCCCATCAGCCCTGAGTCCTCTGGGACACAGACACAAGCAGTCAGCAGTTCAGGAAAGGGATGGGCTGGTACTCTGGCCACATGAGCCAAGAAATTGGTCTAAGGCAGACCTTGGCCAAACCCACTCACAGTAGCCTGTTTTAGGAGTAATTTGTAAAAGAAAGCTGAAAGTTTGGTGTGAAGAAAGGGGCAGTTTACACAAGTGCTATATTTAAGGCCACATAGCCATTTACAAGTCAGAGTGACCACATCCTTGCCCTCAGGGCTGTGTTGGGCATTGAAGTGTGGGCAAGGGTGGGGATCATGGCCACCTCTGCATAGGGAGCTCTGGCTCAAAGGCAGAACAGAGGGTCTTTAGGTGGTCCTGAGGGTGTGAGGTTACAGGGAGCAGTGCCTAAGTTGGTAGACAATGCTGGTCTTTGGTGGCAGCCCTCACAAAGTGGTCACACCAGGGTGCCTTAGGGTTCCCTTGAGTACCCTTTCTGACCTCTCTGCATGCCTGGTTCCACACCTAGGGCAGGAACAGAAAGCTGACAAACTCACATGTGCCAAGAATTGCCCTTCATTTGGGACAAAGCTGTTGGCTGTGCAAAAGGCCAAATAACCTGAGTCTGGTTCAGATCACTGATCACCATGAGGCCTCACTTAGGACAGTGAGGGGCTAACAAGCAGCAGCACAGCCCTGCCTCCTAGTCTACACTCACTCTGACTCACCAGTCCTCTGAGATGGTGCTGTGCTGCCTGCACTGCTCAGTGTTCTCTTTCTCACAGTTTTGCTAAGCAGATGGCTGCACTCACCTTAGTGAGACACGTGCATGGTGAATGTGCTGCGGCTCTGCATGAAGGCTCACCCTTCCTCTGTCACCTGTCCTGGCCGGTCCCTGGGCCTCTGCCCATGCTATTTCCGATGCCCACTGTGCCCTCTTTAGCTTATTCTGTCACAATCCAGCCTACCCTTAAAGGCCCAGCTGCACCATCCATTAAGCCTTGTGAGAATTAAACTCTTTCCCCAAGTTCTCACAGCACATTGTGTGAACCTCTAGGCTTTTTATTTGTGGCCATTTCCATCCTCAGGGCCCACACACAAAGTACTCCAGAAGGGCTTATTAAAGTGGTGTCCCCTGCATAACAGTCCATCATTATTACCTCCTGAAAGAGCAAACATATATTGAGCTCCTGTTTGCCAGGCCTAGTTAGGAATTTTCACATGTACTTCATTTAAGTTGTATAGTGCTGGGAGGTGGGGTTGTTATCTGATGAGGAAACAAATCAGAGAGGCCCAGTGACTTGTCCAAGGTTACACAGCAGGTGATGAAGCCAGAATTCAAAACCCAGGTTAGTCTGATTCCAAGGCCAGGGTTTTTCCCCTTATAAACAAACACAAAATAGTAACAACCATTGATCATTTATATGGCATTCTCACATACATTATTTCATTTGATCCTCACAACAGCCCTGTGAGGTAGGTAGGGTTATGTATTACTGTTACGCGCATTTCACAGATGAAGAAACAGAGTGGCTCAGTGAGGTGAGTGACGTGCATAAAGTCACACAGCACATTAGTGGCTTCGTAGGTCCTTTACTTTCTCTAAAGTCAAGCTGCTTGAATTAAGAAGCACCGAAAAGGTGGAGAAAAAGATTTTTTATGGAGAAGAAAAAAGGCAGTGATAATTTATGAGATTTCTTCCTTAAACTGTTTTGTTGTGGTCATAGCTTCCATTCTAGTACCATTGGCCTGGTGGCCTGAAGTAGCTGTCAGAGACTCTTGGGTCCCACTGTAGGGGAAAAAGGCCTGTATTACCTAAGGGATATGGCCTTGCCCATAGCCCAGTGTACAGGCTCCCTACTCACAGAGCACATTATGGGAAGATCCCTCCTTGGCCCACCTCCTGTGGGTGCCTGTGCCACCAGGCTTTCCTGGCTTTGTCTGAGGGCCCCTACCCAGTGGGGAAGACTCTGAGACTCCCAAGGCTGTACTCACTCTAGGGATGAATCATAATGTGCAGTTTTGAAGCCTGCACAGCTCATCACCCCCTGGGAAGTAGTGGCTTGGGGTGTCTTGTCCTCAATTTCACCCCAAGGCGGTTCATGATCTTGTTATGACCAAAAAACAGTACTACAGAGGAAGGCACCCTCCTTCAGAACAGTGTCTCAGGGACTGGACTCTTAGTCCAAGGGCAGTGTTATGGTTCAGACCATTCTTGGGTTCCTTGCTGCATACTGCTTTCCAGGACCCTGGCTGCTTCCTCCGGCAGCACTTCCTCAGGGACAGCAAATCTTCATCTTCCAATAGAAGATGGTTAGAGGGTATCTAGAGTTGTGGCTGGTGAGGAAGATGGGTGAAATGGGGGTCACAAAGGAGGCAAAGCCATAACAAAATGGGGTTGACTTACAGGGGATGGAAGAGGGCCAGCCTTGGTTCTGAAGACAGATCCCAAAGGGGAATCCTAATATTATTTTCAGCATGAGTGTCTGGTCTCTCAAGGTGACTGTTTTGAAAGAGAAAATACATATTTGGGTGACAAGAACCAGACCATAAAATAGAACCAATGCCAGAAAATGGGAGTGGAAGGGCAGATTTTGGCTCAATATAAGAATTTTCTAACAGCCAGTACCAGCCAACCACAGCAGGGGCTGCCTTAGGGGTCATGAGCTTCCCATCACTGGAGGTATGCAAGCAGGGATATGTGGTCAGTTGGAGGTACTGGGGAGAGGAACTCATCCCTAAATGTGTTGGGGTATGCTGGGGTGAGGGAGGACTAAGTGTTGAATTATTTTCCAACCCTGAGAGTCCATAATATATTTGTTTAAAATGACTTGTTCCAATGATACCTCAAATTCTTGGGGAAAGGATTACAAAAGTCAGGTAACAGGCCACAGTATGAGGTGCCTTTCATTGCACTGGCTGCAGATTTTCAAGCCTTCAAAGGGACAGCAGCCTATTTCTGAAGCCAGAAATCTCCAAATGCTTAGAGTTGATCCAGTCAAAAGGGATATCCCCATCTTCTGAACCCTGCTTGGATGCTCACTCCTCTAGGCCATGCCACAGCTCACATCTCTTCCCCAGCAGGGGCCAATACAGCTTTGAGAACATACTGCTTTTCCAAGCCAGTCAAACATGGTTGCCCTCAGGCAAACAAATCCTTGGGCTGCATCCTTGGGACGAGTAGCAAGAACTGAAGGGAGCATCTTGTTCTCACCTCATCCCCTTCACCAGGGGGGTTCTTATTCAAATGGGTAAGTGAGGCACTGCCTAGTGGTATAGAGAGAGATGGAGCCCATGCCATAAATGATGCTCCTCTGTCTTGTCAGAAAGTCCTCCTGTGCCCTCCTTTAGGACATACCAGCAGACTCTTCGCTTGTCATAACAGACTGCCCATCTCCAGCTCAAAATGGCAAGAAAAAAGGTGGCTCTGTTGAGAGGACACATGGATTCCTATAGGTGGACTGCATCATGGGGGAATCAAGTCCTGCTACATGATTAATACAGATTAGTAGAGTGCCCTGCCTCACACTACTGGTGAGATACTCTTTAAGATCTTGGCTGACATGGAGCTTCTTGGGAACCCCTTTCCATTGCAGTTGGGGCCCTTTTACCTATAAATGTGGTTGTGGTCCTTTTACCTGTACCGTATTAATCGAATAATCTTATTGTTCATAAAATCCAGAGCATGTGGGTGAGAGGAATCGATGCAGAAGCCGTCACTTAGAGCGATTTTCAGCACCTCCTCCACGAAGACCTGGAAGCTATTGATCTGCTTGTTGGCTGGCACCACCCAGAGCCTCTTGAGGTTCTGCTTGGTGTATTCCTCCTCTGGGAGGCCGTCCACATTGGCCACCCAGTCCAGAGTCAGGTGGTTGGGGTCCTGCAAGTGGCTGGTGATGGAGGAGAGATTGCCATTAGAGCAGTAGAAGAGCTTGGAGCCGAGGAGCTTGAGGAAGAGGCAGGAGGTGCTGAAGATGTTGGCATTGAAGACCTCCATGCTGGAAGAGGAGAGGCTGTAGATCTGGGGTGCCTCACGCACGGTGAAGTGGACCGTCTGCACATGCTGATTCAGCGTGATATTGAGCATGGCATTCTTCTCTGCCTTGGAGAGCTCCACCTCCTTCTCCTGCAGTGCCTCAATCAGGGGCTGAACCTGGTAGAAGTCAGCCTCCCTGCGGAGCAGACCCATCTCCTGGAAGTCCTCTGGTAAGTCCAGGTGGGAGGTCCGCAGGAAGTTGAGGATGTAGCGGAACACTTTGCCGTCACGGTCAATGAAGCAGTTGCCCTGGCTGTCCCTCTTGGTGGGCATCTTCCCGCTGAACATGGCACCTAGCATGGAGTCAGGGAAGCTGGTCAAGGTTGCCAGTGAGGTTGTGTAGAGCTTTCCCCCGACATTCAGTGTGATGGGGTCAGACATGGCAGGAGGTTGGGGTGCTGGGAAGTAATCCTAGAGAGGGAGAAAAGTGAGAAATGACAGTCACCCAACCACAGCTGGTATCTTAGTCTGTTGGAGCTGGTATAGCAGAATACCACAGACTGAATGGCTTAGTAACATTTGTTTCTCACAGTTCTGGAGGCTGGAAATCCAAAATCAAGGTGTGGGCAGATTTGATGTCTTCCTGCTGTGTCCTCATGTGACAGAAGGGGCAAAAGAGGTCTCTGGAGTCTCTTTTATAAGGGTACTAATCCTGTTCTCTACCCTCATGACCTAATCAGCCCCCAAAGGTCCTTACTTCCTTATACCATCACATTGGAGGTTAGCACTTCAACATGAATTTCTGGTGACACATAGACTCAGTCCATAACATCTGGGTAGTCACAGTTCTTAACTCATTGTAGATCAAGCCTATGGTCCTTGAGATCAAAATGAATTAATATTTAATGAACAGATGGATGGGTAATAATTGCCACACTGTCTAAAGCACATTAAGTTCACTAGGGAGTTAAAAAAAAAAAAAAGAAGAAAAGGAAAAAATGAAGCCTGGGTCATACCTTCCAGAGATTGTTTTAATTGGTCAGGAATGTGGACCCAGCATTGGTATTTTTGAAAAAGTGCCCTCAGTAATTATAAATGTTCAGTTAGGACAGAGAACCACTGGCCCAAGGAAAGAGAGGAAATGTGCCAGAACTGAATGCTACGTTACCTCTCTTACATTTGCTTACATAATGGTCATATATCTTTTGACACAGACAATACCACCATCCATCTATCTTGTGCAATTGAGCAAAACCGTGCCTGGATTCATTCCCCACATTCAGACAGCCGAAGGGCCATACCAGGATTCAAACCCAGGCCCCTTTATATGAGAGAGAAAACTGTAAATGCTTACTAGCCAAAGACTGGTACAGTCTAAGTACAGTACTTAACAAATGCTCTGAGATTTATACACCAAGCCTAGCATTCCTTCTGCCGTACCAATGTTGCCTTCTTGTTTAATTATTTTTCTGTCTCAAAAAATTTACAACAAATGGCTGTGATTAGTGTCATTTCCATCAATCTACCAGGCTCACAATGGTTCATTCAGTCTTTTGGACTCTAAATGACACCCTTTTCTGGACTCATTCTCCTGTAACAATTTGCCTTGCCATGAAGATGCTCTTGGCTCCTGGTGGCTGCCCTTTCCTGTCATGATGGCACCCCAGCCTCCTCTGAAACTTTCTTGGAGGTCAGTGCAAATGTGGAGCTTGCCACAAAGCACCCTTTCCAAAGGTTCTTTACCTACTCTTTAACAGAGCCTCCCTACCCTACTGATCTCATAGCCTCCAGTCCAGCATCTCCTTCAACCTGAACTCTTGCATTCTAAACCTTCTCTTTAAGGTTTTAGAAAGCAGGGGATGAACTGTCTCTGTTTCTAACATGATACTTTCCCAAGAGCCAGCCTATGGGACATATTCAGCAGTTTTTCCCTGAGGCTGGGTGTGGGCAGCGCAGAGAGGAATTGACCCCAGTGCTGACCTTGAGAAAAGCCCAGGCTGGCGGGGAAGACTGAGAGGAGTCAGTGAGGGTGTAGTGCCAGGGGAGATGTACTAGGCACTGTGAGAGTAGGTCAGGAATGAATGCTTGGCATGCTTGCTATCCAGATGGAAAAACAGGGAGGTCCGAGGAAGGACTTCCCCAATATTACCCAGGAAGGGTGGCGAGTAGGCTAGAGTACTTCTCACTACATGTCTGCCTTCTAAGGAGGCTGTACTGAGACCCAGTTATTCCAGGTGATAGAGACCCGCCACCCTGAGGATGGAGTTGATGTTTGGCTGCCCTACCCAACTGTCTGGGTGGGTCCCCTCATGATTCCATCCCCGTCTAATGAGGCACTTTGATACAGCAGAAAGGCATTAACCATCTGGAGTGCCTGAAGAGAAACAAGCTGACGATGAAGTTATAAATCGTCAGCAGCAGCCTGAAGCAGATGGGCTGTGAGACAGTGGGGAGATCCAACAGAGAGGGTTGGGGTGAGGAAGGGACAGCTTTTGTATGGAGACATGCAGCTGGGGAAGATGCTTGGTCTTGGGGCTGAGTCTGGCCAATTCTCTCCAGAGGGCCCAGGTAGGGCCCTGGGATAAGCCATCCCCTTCCTCATTCCAGAACCTCCTTTTCTTTCTAGATAGTAGTTTGCATATTCTAGTTTTCAGTCCCTCTCTCTCCTTAATTTAGGGCCCAGGCTCTGAACTGGTGTCAGAGAGGTTGGACTGTCTTTCATGACAGTTCTGTGGGCCACAGACCCCATATCTCTGTGCATTAGTGCTGAAGAGCTCAGCACTGGGGGTGGAGGAGACAGTTAAGAGCCACAAGACATACGTGGGTGGGCACCCAAACTACTATTTTCCTTGCAAAAGCAGCAGAGTATCTGCCTTCCTGTCCCTGGCCCTTGCTCTCTCCCCCACCCCCCAGCTGTAGGTTGGAAGGCAGTCTCCACAGGGGTGCTCTCTGTGGTATTCTCTCTATACCCATGAGTCCCAGAGCCTAGTCCTTCAAGCCCCTATTTTCTAGTGGCAGCACCACGGTGTTCACCATCATAAATGCTCAGGCCCCATTGTGAAAGGCACAATGACACAAGGGGGGCAGGAACTGGCACCTCTAGGAGGCTGAGGAGCTTCATGAGTATGGCAGAGAGTTTGTGGTCAGGTGGGGATGAACTAACATCACTGAGCTACAGCTCTGGCTTTTACCCAGCTGCCTCCTGGACATCTCCACCTGAATATACTGCAGGTACCAGAAGCCTAACACAGAATTCCTCTTTCCCCAAACCTGCTGTAAACTCTTCTCAGCCACCCAACTGTCTGAGCCCAAGAGCCAGGAAGCAGTACTGACTTCTCATCCCTAAAATTTTTTATGACTCTGATCCTTGAACGCATCCCTCTAGCTATTCTTGGAGCTCAGGCCTTATCCCCACTCCCCCTTTATCCTCACTTGGCTCTTTCAGTCCATCTTCCATTTTAGTCTGCAGACTGATCTTCTTGAAGCACTACTGCTTGCCTAAGACACATCGCTTTTCCAGTCTCACCTCTAACCCTCCCCTTCCCCCAACTCTATGCTCTGTCACTCCAGGCACCACAGCACTCCCCTCACACTGTCACCTGCCTTGCCTTTGCTCTCCTTACACCCCCCTTCTCCACTTTCTCTGTTGTCAATCTTTAAGGCTCTGCCTATGAGTCACTGCCTGTTTGTAAGGCTGTCCCCAAATCTCCAGTAGGTTAATAGCTCTCCTCTTGGGGCTTCCAGATTCCTAGAACAACCCTCTCCAGCTGTGCCCACCGTTCCATCATGATATGATCTGTTTTGCACATGGCCCTCCTTCCCAGCTTTTTCAAGATGTAGATCACTGGACATCTATTATGTAATAAAAGGACCTTAACCTATACCTTGCATCATATACAAACAACTCAAAATAGATAATGGACCTAAATGTAAAATCATTTTAAAACTATTAAACTTCTAGGAGAAAATCTTTGTGATTTTTGGGTTAGGCAAAGATTTCTTAGATAGGACCCAAAAGGCATAAACCATAAAAAAATTGACAGATTGGACTTTATCCAAATGAAAATCTCTTCAAAAGACACTGTTAAGAAAATGAAAATAAGACAAAGACTGGGAGAAAATATTTGCAAAACACATATCTGATAAAGGATTGTTAACTAGAATATATAAAGAATTCTCAAAACTCAATAAGAAGAAAACAGACAACCCAGTTTTTAAAATGGGTAAAAGAGCTGAACAAACACTTCAACAAAGAAGATACATAGATGATAAATACATGAAAAGATGCCCAACATCATTGGTCATTAGAGACATGAAGATTAAAACCTCAATTAGAAACTACTACATATCTATTAAAATGGCTCAAATAAAAAATATGACAATACCAAATTTTGGTGAGTACACAGAGCAACAGAAGCCCTAAGACAGTGCTGCTGAGAACACAAAATGGAACAACCACTATGGGAAATAGTTTGGCACAGAGCTCTTACGTGACCCAGGAATCCCACTCCTAGTTATTTATCCCAAAGAAATGAAAACATATGACCACGCAAAAACCTGTATGAGAATGATTATAGCAACTTTATTCATAATTGCCCAACCTGGGAACAAGTAAGATGTAAATGGATAAACAAATTGTGGTACATCCATACAATGGAATATGACTCAGCAATATAAAAGAACTAGCTACTGACACACACCACAATATAGAAGAATCTCAAAAGCATTATTTATGTCAAGTGAAAAAAACCAGCCTCAAAAGGTTACATGGTGTGTGATTCTATTTATATAACATTCTGGAAAAGGCAAAACTACAGAGACAGAAATCAGATCAGTGGTTTCTAGGGGCTGGGTTGGAGAGAAGACTGGCTATGTAAATGTGGTTACCAAACACAAGGGGTTCACTGCTTGGGATGTTCCATTTAAGAACTAGATGTGGTAGTTAGGTAGTTTTTTTCTTGTAGCAAGTAAAGGAGATTGGGGATTCACATTTGAAGTTCTTTCTCCCCAAAGGGAGGCTGAGTCATTGATTAGATATACTATTTGGTTAGTTATATGTTGATTTCTTCTTTGCAGTTAGCTAAACTTATCCTGTTGGGTTAGGGTCAAACTCCTTTGGTTACAGCTGCATCTGCAAAATATACTGTGTAGCATTTTAACATTGAGCAAGAATAGCATTTAGTAAGAACTGCCCAGACCTTGATACCCTTGTTCTATCTAACAGCATGAGGCAACATTTTGGAATGATGGAAATAGTCTATGTCTTGATGTAGTAGTGGCCAAATGACTGTATAAAGATTATAAAAATTTGCCCGGTCAGGTGTGGCTCAGTGGTTGAGCATCGACCTAGGGTCCAGGGGATCATGGTTCGATTCCCAGTCGGGGCACATGCCCAAGTTTTGGGGTCGATCCCCAGCAGGGAGCGTGCAGGAGGCAGTGATCAATGACTCTCTCATCACTGATGTTTCTATCTCTCTCTCTCCCTCTCCCTTCNGGCAGGGCACATGCCTGGGTTTGGGGCTCGATCCCCAGTAGGGGGCGTGCAGGAGGCAGTGATCAATGACTCTCTCATCACTGATGTTTCTATCTCTCTCTCTCCCTCTCCCTTCCTCTCTCTGAAATCAATATATATTTTTTAAAAAATTATAAAAATTCATATAACTATATATCTTAAAAAGGTGAATTTTACTGTATATAAATTATGCCTTAGTAAACTTGAAAAAAATCAAGATTGTGATTGTGTCATGAAATCCATATAGTGGGTTATGACCAGTTATATACATATATTGTTGTGAAACTTTGGTTTTAGTGTGCGTGTGTGTGTGTGTGTGTGTGTGTGAACTGGATTGTGATATAAGGTGTATCTGCATAGTTTGGGTTGTGATAAAAATTGTTTTTGAAAACTACTGCCTAGTTGTGATCTTGACATCACATCTCATGTGTTTGTATATGCACTGCCTAGCACAGAGTAGGTGCTGGTAGCATTATGGTGGTGGGGGTGGTGCAGCAGGGAGGCCCTGAGAAAGGAGGAATGAATATTTACTGAGGGTTTTACTACATTCAAGACCTTTATGCCCTAGCCAGTTTGGTTCAGTGGTTAGAGCATCGGCCCTCAGACTGAAGGGTGCTGGGTTTGATTCTAATCAAGGACACATACCTCAATTGCAGGCTCGATCCCCAGCCCTGGTTGGGGCCAGTGCAGGAGGCAATCAATAAATGTGTCTCTCTCACATTGATGTTTCTCTCTCCCACCTCCACTCTCTCTGAAAAGCAATGGAAAAAATAATAGGTGAGGATTAAAAAAAAAAAAGACCTTTACACTTATCAGCCCATTTAATTCTTACAGCCATCCTACAATGTACACATCATTCTCCCTGTTGGCAGATGGGAAACAGAGACTCAGAAAGACTGGTGACTTGCTCTTCCCCTTGCACAGGCCACTGAGTTATAATAGCAGCAAAAGGTTGTAATAGCTTTAACCAGTTTGAGAATCCCTGAAGCAGCCTTTTAAAATTCTGCTCTGCAGCCCTGGCCGGTGTGGCTCAGTTGGTGGGAGCGTCGTCCCACCTGATGAAAGGTCATGGGCTTGATGCCCAGTTGGGGCACGTGCCTAGGTTGCAGGTTCAATCCCTGGCCCTGGTCTGGGCACATGTGGGAAGCAACAGGTCAATGTTTCTAACATCGATGTTTCTCTTTCTCTCTCCTTTCCCCTCTCTAAAAGTCAATGAAAACATCCTTGGGTGAGGATTAACAATAAATAAAAATAAAATACTGCTCTGCAGCTTGCTTGGCAAGACAACAGCTACCACTTGCTGAATACACACCTGTTTTTACAATGTAAGGGGCCTCATGTAACATTTGATAGCTATTTATTTATTAATTATTTATTTTTTAATCCTCACCAAGGGTATTTTTTCCATTGCTTTTCAGAGACAGTGAAAGGGACAGAGAGAGAGAAACATGCGCAAGAGAGACATAAATTGGTTGCCTCCCACACACATCCCAACTGGGGCCAGGGATCAAGCCTGCAACCGAGGTACATGCCCTTGACCAAAATTGAACCCGGAGTCCTTCAATCTGTGGGCTGATGCTCTAACCACTGAGCCAAACAGGCTAGGGCGTATTTTATTTATTTTGAATTAAAATATGTTGAAAAGTACAGAGAATATTATTGTGCTAAATGCTTTACATGCGCTCCTTCATTTGATGTCTTCACAAATACCCTGTGAGACAGATACTATAATTTCCTTTTTACAGATGAGGAAAGGTTTAGTCAATGGAGGAGCTGAGATCTGAATCCAGGTCTGTGTGAGCCCAACACTTCTGATTGTTACCCCTTCCCACCTTGGGGCCCCAATGTGAGTGAGACATGCACACTCCCCTATTCTCTGTCTAGGCCAGACTGGGGTAGGATCCCTTGACAACTAGTCCACTGCCAGCTTGGGGCTCTACCCACTCACATCTGAGGACATGGGGACAGGATCTCAGGATGGCCCAGAGCTTCTCCACAGCTGACATAGGGCAAGTCCACTGAGAATTTAAACTCTTCTATTGCAAAGACAACTCATGACGTCTAATGACAAAGCAGGAAAACACAAAAAGCCAGGTTTATAAAAGTCAGTTTAGAAAAGATAAAAGAAAATGCAAACTCAACCAGGAAGTAGGAGATAAAGAAATCCCACCACTGTGTTTGAAGGAATAGTTTTCTTAAGCTGGAGACTTTCCAAATCTGCCTCTCAACTTGAAAAGAACCAAGAAAAAGATCAGCCCATCCCCCTCTCTGAGAAGACCACTGGTGTCAAACCAGGGAATTGTGCAATGCTGATCATCAGACCATCTGGCCTGGCAGGAAAAGCCAGGGAGCCTGGGATCTTGGAGTTGAGGCTGGAATTCTTGCCTCCATGAGAGAGTCTGTGGCCCAAATGAGAGGGGGTCTTAAGCCCATCCTGGTACCACATGTGTAGGGCCTGAAAATCACCTGGTGCAACCTTTAATTGTGACACAAAATAAAATTCTTTAAGAGATATCCTATAAGGAAGGGCAGCCAAGACACTGCTCTAAAGAGTCCTACTTTAAAACTATGTCCTGGTCCCCATGGTCCCCACAGGCCTCATGAGGGACACAGCTTATGCTTGAGGGGTACTTACCATATACCATACCTCTATTAGATACATTATACATATTGACTTAAGCCCCAAACGAGGAGAGTATTATCTGTTTTACAAATGGGAACCTGAGGCTCAGAGAAGTTAAGTAACTGGCCCAAAGCAGGGCAGAGCCTGGATTCAAGCCTAAGCTTGACTGCAAAGCCTGTGCTCTGAGTGACAATACACTCCTCTGGGCATTCAGCAGCCAAGGGCCTTGGAGAATTCTGTCACGTGTCCCCTTCCTACTTCTTACCAGGTGCTCTCACACCTGCCATCTCAATTTGATTCTGACCTACATGACCAGGGCACAGAATCAACATTTCCTGAGCACCTAGGACATGGCCCCAAGCTATGTGAGACATTTTCCTGTAGGTTATTTCATTAAAATACCACACTGATGTTGTGAGGTATGTACAATTATCATTCCAATTTTTAGGATTATAAAACTGAAGCAGACTAGTGAAGACATCTGCTTAAGATCACACAGCTAGAGCCAGCCACAACAGAGCTAGAATTCTAAGTGAGGTCTTTCTTGGTAGCCTGCGCTACCTCAAGTAACAAAGGTGATGGCATTTTATTAAGAACCATAAATAGGATTTGAATAGAGATCTGTAATTCTTCTGAGAGTTGTTCTTAAAGTTGTTCTCCTAAAATCAATTATAGTTGTTATGCTATCCTAATCCAAATCCCATTAGAGTGTGTGTATATATATCTATATATGTATTTAAAAGATTTTAAAAAGATTAAAATCTTAGTTTGGAAAAGTTGATGAGTGATAACCTGAAACAATATTTGAAAAAGAGTAGTTACGTTAGTATAATGTATTAAATTGGATTATAAAGCAAATGAAAAAGAAGGAATTTTATAGTACATGTTGA